TTAAACACATTAACATTACTTGGCAGATGTATTACAAATACTACATGCACTGCAAATTGCAAAATGCTGGCTTCCTACTGGCAAAGAGCAGCCAAAAGGTGGGGGAAAAAAAGAGAAGATGGAGAGTGAAAATTTTAAAGGTTATGGTCAACAAGGAAGGGAAAAAAATGGAAATGACTGAGGAGCAAAAATAAAATGAAACGTAAGAGTGAGAGAAGTAAAGAGGAAGAAGCACACAGAATGAGAGGATAGCCAGAAGTGAAAAGGCGGCATAAAGAACACCAAAAGAAAGACGTACTTGAAGCAATCAAAGCAGTTGCAACAAGAAGTGACTGTGGGATAGAACAGTATAATATCTAAAAACAATGGTGCGCTTGTCTACGTTGGCTCCACCACACAGCCAAATCAGATATTTCCTGTGAGAAGAGAAGGCAATAGTATCAGAGTGGGGGCAGAAAATATGGACAGCATTGGGACTAATCATTTTTGTGGGGAAAAATGGAATACCATGCTCTCTTAGGGCCTACAAAGATCTCTAAATAGCTTTAGGATATGCATGGAGCAGTCTGTCCAGGACTGCGTGTTTCACCTCTCTCTCTTCTGTGATGGGTGTAATGAATTATTATTACTGTCCTCCTCTTCTGTGCATAACAAATATGGTTTTTTAAATTTAATTTTGTATTTTGTTTCTCCCTTTGACAATTATGTAGTCATGTATTTTAATAATTTATGAGACACATTCAATTTGTCAAGAAGGAGACAAATTGAAGTTTAAAAAATGGTACAAATTACAAATTTCTTAAAATCAAAGATATCAACTTAGTTCACATGAATTAGAGTCCAGAAAGTCAATATTCAGTTAAGGTTCTCTCAGTTGGCTTACACAGAGGTCTCTTTTGCAACAGCATAGATATAGTCAAATTTCTAGTGAATGTTAAGTAGTTGGAAACTGGTTCATTCTGCAGATGAAACACAAGTTTCTTTACAGAAATCAGACTTTGAGAGATCAGAGGCAGATGTACAGCTAAGCCCGGAGATACTTAATCTTTCAGTGTCGCAAACAGACTGATTTAAAAAATGTCAAAACTATATAATTAATGATGGATCAAACAAACCAGCAGTTTCAGTCCTGTAATTGGGCCTGCAGTTTGAGAAACTTAGCTTATGAAGTGTTTAGCTCAATTCGTTGGACAGCTGGTTTACAATGCAGAGTAATGCCAATAATGTGGGTTCAATTCCTGCTCTGGCTGAGGTTACTATGCCCTGGGGAGCTATGGCAACTTTACAGTTACCTATCCATTAATGCCTTAAAATTAGATGCAGGACTGCACAATCTTAACATGTGTATTGAAAATAGGCTCCTTCAGGAAACATGTGCTTGGGTCATCCTTTTGAAAGTCACAAAATATCAATAACTACACATGAAAGAAGAACAGGATGTTAAATAGTTTGAATGGCAAATTCAGAAGCTCAATGTGCAGCAACTACCATATTTCCATGCATTTGTGTCTCTGTATTGGCCCAACCTGCTTCATTTATATGCCACTCTAAGTTCTCTCCTTCCCTAAGAACACTGACAGCAGCAAGCCTGACATAAAAGTCAGAGTGATTATCATGGCAACAGCTTGTCACTTTCTGCCTCCTTGCATAAGAACTCTTCTCTCATTCTATATATCAAAAAATGCAATTAGGTATTACTTTTTGGCTCAGTTGGTTGGACAGCTGGCTTGTGATGCAGAGTGACATCAACAGAATGGTCTCAATTCCTGCACCTGCTGAGGTCATAATGAAGGTCCTGCCTTCTCAACCTCATTCTTTGTCTCAGGTTAAACTCACCATCCCTATACACTCACAACTGACTGTCCATATTCCACCCCAATTCCACTTACAAGTTGGCTGATGCCACCACCATCGTAGGTCAGATCTCAAACAACGACAAGGCAGAATACAGGAAACAGATCGAGTGCTCAGCGGGATGTTGTAAAAACAACAGTCTCTCCATCAATGTCAGCAAAACACAGGAGCTGATCATTGACTTCAGGATGTTGAATGGAGAGCATGCCCCTGTCTGCATCATTGGTGCTGAGGTGGAGATGGTCAAGAGTGTCAAGTTCCTGGGAGTGATGATCACCAACAACCTTTTCTGGTCCACCCACGTTAATGTGATGATCAAGAAAGCACTACAATGTCTCTACTTCCTCAGGATGCTAAGGAAATTTAGCATGTCCACAAGTACCCTTACCAATGTTTATTGATGCACCACAGGATGCATCAGTGTGTTATGGCAACTGCTTTTCCCAAGAAACTACAGAGTCATGAACACAGCCCAGTGCATCATGTAAACCAGGCTTCCATCCATGGACTCCATTTATACTTCCTGCTGCCTTGGAAAAGCAACCAACATAAGCAAAGACCCCTCCTACCCCAGTTATACTCCCTTCCACCCTTTTCTGTCAGTCAGAAGATATAAAAGTTTGAATAGAGATACGAACAGTTTCAAGAACAGCTTCTTCCCTGCTGTTATCAGATTTTTGAACGGACCTCTCAAATGTTAATTCTGATCTTTCTCTCTCTGTACCTTTTATGCGGCTCTAACTCTGTATTCGGCACTCTGTTCTGCTACCCTGAGGCACTTTGCATAGTACAATCTGCCTGTATAGCACACAAAACAACACTTTTTACTGTATCTCAGTATATGCGACAACAATAAATCAATCTTGCAAAAGAAGCAAGGGGATATGAGAAAAAATAATCATTCAGCAAGCAGTTGGGGCATGAAATGCATTGCCTGGAAGTTCAACTGAGGTATTTAAGAGGGCACTGAATGATTATTTGGATAAAAATAAGGTGCGAAAGTATGGGGGAAAAGCAGGAGATTGGCATTTAGTAAAAATGTTCATGTGAAGAGCCAGGGTAGACACAGTGGGCCAAATGGCCTCCTTCCACAAAACAAGTATCCAGTCTGCATTTAGTCTCTTTAGTGTGGAAGAGACCACATAGTAAACAGCAAATACAATAGAATAATAAAAAGTACAAATAAATTGCAGCTTTTGGAATCTTTGTTTGGTACCTTGTACAATGAAGATACAGAAACTAAAAAGGTGCTGCACCTTTACAATTGCAAAGGAAGATGGCATGGGAAGGGGAAGAGGTTTTGGGGTTATATGTCATTGAGGGAATGGTCCTTTTGGAATGTTGACTGGTGCAGAGGAGGAATGTGTTTGGTAGTGATCTAGCATTGCAGTGGCATAAATGGCGGAGATGAACGGAGGAGATAATGGAGGATTTATATATGGAGCCCAGTGGGTTGGAAAATGATGACAAGAGAAACAAAAGTACAATCATAGTTGTGAAAGGATTGAGAGCTGAAGTGCAGAAAATGGGTTGAACACAGTTGAGGACTCTGTTAGCAACAGTGGAGAAATTTTTAAGTGAGGAAAAAGGAAGAAATGTCAGAAGCGCTGTTGCTGAAGGTAACATTACCAAAACAAATATGACAGAGATAGAGAAACTGAGAGAATGGAATGGTGTCTTTACAGGAAACAGCTTTTCAGGAAGTATAATTGAGGTAGCTATGGGTGTTGGTGGGATTATAATGAATATTAGTGAAGCCTATCCACAGAAATTGGCACAGAGCTGAAAAAAGGAATGGAAGTGTTGGAGATAGACCAATGTGAAGGGGAAAGAGGGAAGAAAATTGAAAGCAGAATTTATTTAAGATTCCCAGGTCCAGGACAGAGCAAGAAAGAGCACTGATATGGTCCTGATGTACTGGAAAAAGTTAGGGAATGGGATCTGAGAAGGATTGAAAGTGGGAATGTTCCACATACCTCACAAAAAGACAGGAG